CACCTTTATGTGCACTGCACACAAAAAAAGTCACACAAAAATGTAAATAATTGTTTCTTGTATGTGTCAAGGGTATGCATTAATGTAACTTTGGGAGGTGATTGGAGTGCTGGGATGGGGGAACGGTCCTTTGGAGGGAAAAAATTGTCCAGTTGACTCAGTGCCGTGTTCAGATTGTGAAATTTCCCATTATGAAGATCACTTTCTAGCCATTATTTTGTTTAGAGTGGGAAACATATGTGGGCATAAATCTTTTAATTAGAATGATATTTCTGCTGCTAGCTCAGAGAGGCTGTGGTGTGTTTGGACAGCAAAAAAGTGTTCGTCTGGCTCTGTGCCATTAGCACTGTAGCTCAAAGTGTTTAAAAGGAATTATTTTACTTCCAGGAAATGGTTAATGTAACCAATCCCTTCTCTTCAGAATTTAACTTAACTTCCTTCTACTAAAGAGCCAGGGACTACACTCTTCTTCCTCCATAGTTTGTCCCACAGATTGCTCCAAGAAGCATATGCTGGGATCCTGTTTGGCCATACCTGAAAGAGATTTAATCTATGCACTGTCTCTGAAATTTGGCAGACTTTCTCCCTTCATTCCAGGAAGATGTTTTAACTCTTTGCTGCCCAGTCTTAGGTGGGATATATTCTTATCCTATCACAGATGCTGATGAGGTGGGTTTTATCCACGAAAGCTCCTATATATTTATTAGTCTCTAAGGTATCATAGGACTACTTGTTTTTATTGTTTACAACCACACAGGATTGAGATGGAGCTTTTCCTTTCATTGCTAATCCTGGCTCCAACCCTGGCCAAACTCCTAACTTGGGAAAAATCATGAGAGTTGACAACACTGTGTTGAAGTGATACTTAAAAAACCCACACAAGCATAAGTTGTATTTTTTTTAAATAGAATAATTTCATGGATATTAAATAAAGCAGCTATACTGGTATCTAAAATACAAATCCATTCCAACTAACATATCATGTGTAGTCTCTGGAGGCTGTCATATTGACAGGAAGCAACAATAAGTGGAAAAGGAGCTCACTTTGTGCACAGTAAATAGGAACAGCTGAGAAATAGTGAGCCTATGTCTCCTTTCATTGCTCTCCTCTTTGTGCAGTCAGTTACACCAGAGCACTGTGGCTGTGAAATGTTACAAAGGAGTGTTTTAAATAGCCACACAAGGAAGAGGGAACAGAGAATCAGGCCTGGAATATTTCTTTGCTCTGATGTCAAACAGCCTGTTTTGCTCAGTACATGAGTACCTGAGGTAGGATTGCAGCTTGGCTAGATAGATTAGTGCTAGCACAGCTACAAATCAGTGCAGAGGAAGCAGCACAAGTGTCCACAAGGGTTGAACAAGCCTAACAGGAGCCCCGGATTACCTAATGTGAAATATGCTGCAGTCAGGATGTGACTGCACCTGTGAAGGTCCTCAGGCCCTGTATACAGCTATTGCTAAGTTAGGGCAGCTAGCAGGTGGCTAATCAATGTAGTTGCACTAGGGCTTGGTCCCGGTTAGCAGTAAGTGTAACGAACAACACACAAGAGTGTGTCTCTGTTGAGACAATGAAGTAAACCATGAGTAACTCAACCCCAAGCTGCACTTAGGGGTCAGAGCTGGTGCAGCTAGACCAGCTGCTGATTTGGAGCTTTGCAATGCACACTCACCACTACTGCACCCCCTTGTATCCAGGTACAACGTTGCAAGGGTTTTAATCTCTGATGCCCCTGTAGGGTGTTGGTCTTTGTGTTCCATTCAGTCCACCAGCTGAGAAGTGGCTAGTCCAAACCGTTCAGAATCACAAAGAATCAATCTAACCTCTGGTCCCCATGCTCAACCCTTTCCTAGTGTTCCACTGCCTTTCCCCAGTTAATTGCCTTTAGAGACCTCCAGCAGTCTCAGATGCATCAGCCCATCACAGGAACCAACCTTCCCATCAGCTCCCTATGGCTTCTTCCCTTGACTGAACTCTCAGCCTGTTTATAAGGCCCAGGTAACTTATCACATAAGCCTCCTTTATTCTCACCCTCTTTGGTTGAAAAGTGATTAATTGCCAACCAGGTGGACTGACTGGCCTTTAAACCTTTCTCATCTGTGATGGGTGTTCACTCCATCACAGGGACTTACTCTAGGCTTAAGGCAGTATGGCAAGTCTCACAGAGAAGCTTCATTGCACTGCCTGAACTGAAGGTCAATGTGGGTATGTGGCTAAGTTAGATGCTATTATTTATGTGTCTCTGCCACTCAGAGAAGCTGCCTGCTTTTCTTGTTCACTGCAGGCAGGAAATGACGCAGACGTAACCAAAGGGACAGTTCCTTTGTACTATTGTAGTGAGGTGGCGTGAATTCCAAGGACCCAGAAAGAGAGGAACCCCGCAATGGGCCTTGGTATGGGGAGCCGGGCTATGTACGCCTCTCCTACCAGAAGTGGGTGGGACAGGAAGTTCAGCTATAGCTGTTGGAGGAACCAGAAGCCTCCTGCCCACTCCTGAGCTGAGACATTGCCAAAGGCCCCGGGTGGAACTGAGAACTGGCTGATCTTCTGGAGCTGTATCCTGACCAGATTATGGAGGAACTACTAGGGATTCTATTCTGATCACCTGGAAGATCCTTTACAGGTAAACCCTGAGGTGGAGGGTCATTGGTAGGGCCCTGGGCCTGGAGGTAGTGGAGCAGGTAGGCCTGCATCCCCTCCTATCACCCGACACCCTGAGATTTCACTCTCTGGGTGAAGAATCCTGCGTTTGTCAGCCATCCTCTGGAAGTAGGATGCCTGACCCTTCTCAGCTCAGAGTCTAGATATGAGCCATAGACTCTTATTGCCCTGCCCTGACTGGTGGTGTCACGTTGCTGGATCTTGAGGGGAGCAGCCAGATCACTGATGTACCCATAGGTGGGGGTGTTGGCCCCAAAAATGGTATAGGAGGGGGCCATGTGAGGTATTGAATAGAAGCTTATTATCTGATAATCCTATGTATGCTGTTCTTGTGTTTGTGTAATGTCTGTGTGTGCAATTATGAGCATGTACTTGTATGGACACTGAAGATTTCCCTGCATGTGGTTAAGCATTGGGCAGGGCCGAGCCTGTGAACATGCTAATTACCGAGGCCCTGTGGAACAATGGCTCTCAATGGGCTATGGACACACCCAAAGAATGGGGGCTGTCACCTGAGAGCAGCCAGCAGGAAACACAGAGACTGGCCTCTGACCAGGTGACCTGCTACATACTAGAAGAGGCCAGGGAGGAGGTATAAAGAGGCCATGCGGTCGATGCTATTTTGTTCTCAGCTCAGCACTTCATCCCAGAGGCAGCAGTGCAGGGATCGAAGAACCCGGAAGACCTGTGAACCCATCCTGACCCTAGGATGTGCAACAAGAACTTTTAAACCAGCAGCTGTAACATCTCTGCTAGAGCCTGCATCGAGGACTGGGAGATTCAGTGTATGTAACGTACTGTACTTTAATAACCTTACTCTCAGGCTTTTCTTTATTGTAATAATAAACCTTTAGATATAGATTCTAAAGGATTGGCCCAGTGTGATTTGTGGGTAAGGTCCAGAGGGTAAATTGACCAGGGATCTGTGGCTGGTTTCTTGAAACCGGACAGAACTTGTTCGGGGTAGGTGGGATTGGGTGTTAGGACCCCCCCACCTGTGTATAGGCCCGGGGCCATCTGGGGCACGGATATAGCTGGGGTGTCGGAAGGGTTTTGCTCGGGAGGCTTCAGGCATGTTGCTGAAGCGCTCTGTGGGACTGATTTGTGGCCTGTGTAGAGAGGTCACCAGTCTGGGGGCTGTAAGGAGCCCCG